ACACCACTTGTTTTTGTTCAAATTTTATTTATTTTATAATAATATCAGTAGTACATATATTAGAAAATCTAATGATTTTCGACTATTAAGGCTCTCAGCCATGTTTATAAAATACTATCAAAACCAAAAAGAGAGTGATGACTGAGATGACGTATGATAGAGTTACGTGAAGGACAAAGACCTACGGGAGAAGGATAAGGAGAAAGATGATAATGAATGGCTAAAACGTAAAGTAACTGCTAGTCATTCGCCACCTTTAACCGACAGAGGACGCATTAAATGAAAATATTTCCCCTTCCTATAAGTTCCTTACTCCGCAAAATACACTAACTTCTTGTCCTTTTTATGAGGCCTAAAATTTAGTATACGGCTTACACACTTACTTCACGCCAACCTTCTGTGTGGTTGTTGCATTGCACCGGGCGATCGGGTTACTCCTGCAACAAATACTGATGCTACACCACTGTCAGGTTTTAGTTAGAATAGCTAACAACCAGTGACAAAACACAAAAGCTGTGCAAAAAGTGTATTTGAAGATTTTCGTGTTGACTGTACACGATTTATGTTTGTCCATTTTGTTTCTATATAAGCCGATAGTTGTCTTTTGTCTCTTGATTGATGTAGTTTATAAGAAAACGTAATTGAATCTGCGTGACTTACTGAAATCTAGTCTAACATCGTGGAGAATCGGGCAGCGTAAATTTAAACAATTAAAGCATGAGGATGTTAAAGAAGTAGATCTGTTAATTATTCTCAAGTAGACTGAAAAACTATTGCAATGTTTGGGTTCGCATTATTAATTCTATCGTCTATTGTCTAGAACAGAAAATTGATGTTCTCATAATACCAAGAGTAACGAAAACAATTTCAAATGGGGGCTAAATGCAATCAGTGTTAGATTATGTTAATATCCAATCCTAATGGATAGACGCTTTCAAATAATAATCACGGATATATGCGTAATTACCTATTTATTTAAATTTTATTAGTATGTTGAAAAATCACTTTTTTTATGGCAAAAAGATTTTGCAACGTTTTGAGTGGTGGTGTTTTAGATACATTTTTTATCAAAAGACAAACAACTGATTACCATAGAAAATGTCACCCATTATTTAAATTGGGATAAACTTGTTAAGTCTTTAATCTCTTCTTTTTAAATTAATCAAGTAAACTGAGACATGATAAAGGAAATGAAAAATTCAAGTGCAAAATTAGTTTTGAATTACAGCCATGATAAGGGAACCCAAAATTAATTTGATTGTTTTTTTTGTATCGCGTCACCAGGGGATAGGGACAGCTGCCTCCACCTCAAGAGACTCCAAAAATTTAAAATAGATTAACGTTGATAATATTGATTTTTAAAAGAATCTTTGGATTAAACTGGTAAATGTACGAATACATATGTACGTACTAAGACTTTTGATATAACCGCGGACGGTCGTCCGCAGTTCTTGCTTGTTTTATTATCGATCGCTGAGTGAGTGAAGCGTGGTGTTGCCACGGGCATCACATCTTTTTCTATCTTCTACTGTTTTGGTAGCTTACTATTTTACTTTTTATTATTTACTGACTTAAACTAATTTATATATTTTACACATTTTTAACATAGATATAAAACCTATTACGAATAAGATTATATTTATTGTAGCCCTCGTTCCCCGTAGCCGTAGGTCTAAATCATTGGCTGACGACGCCCATGTATCTGTCTGTTGCAATGCGACAATATGACGATGGCGACAACTTAATCACATGTTTTAAAATGTAAATTGTTATTCGATTTCTTATCTTCTCAAAATTATATCTATACCAATGTTATAAAGAGGAAAGATTTGTATTTTTGTATGAATTGAAATAACTCAAAAACTACTGGGTCGATTCTTTCACCATTAGAAAGGTAATTTATCTATGAATAACATAGGTTATATTTTTTTAATTATACGCGGCCGAAGTCGGGAGCAACAGCAAGTTACACATAATTTCACTTTTGCCTTTTTTAATGAGTTACTGGTTATTTAGCATAAATAAATATTGAGTAAATAGGATCTTAAGATGTGTTTAGACTGAGAATAAAAATTTTATATAATTTCTACTTGATTTTTTAAAAAGCTTCCCGAAAACGACCTGGTAATAAACAACATTTGACATCGAAAGCTTAATGTCAAATGCCTTTGTCTCAGAGCGTAAATATCAAGTTCTAATTGATCGTAAATGGTGATTCATTGTATACGGCCTCCCTTTTGACCTTGAACTCGATAATGTTTTTATTTGTTGCTATAAATCGAAGCTTTCATTAGCTTTTAACACCGACCTTAAAACAGAAATGTCACTTCTAGTATATCCTAATTAATTACTCTTAGCCTAATTTTGATGCAAATTTATATCTGGTACTTAATCTTGAATTTAAATCTCAACGAATTTTTACTTTTATATCTACGGACGAAGTATTTTCTAAGAAAGGGGTTATGTATGTATGTTGTATGGTATTGTCATCATCATCATCATCATCACCAGCTCACTATACGTCCCCACCGAGGGGCTCGGAGCCTACCCTACACGGGGTGACTAGGCCATAATCAACCACGCTGGCCAAGTGCGGGTTGGTTGACTTCACACATATCTTTGATTTTTTTCGCCGATATGTGCAGGTTGCATCACGATGTTTTCCTTCACCGTATGGTATTGTACAAGTTGCAAAATACTATAAAAGGCAGATATTTTTATTATCTTCACTTGGCTAAAGCAAAACATACACATCTTTTTGTTTTTTTTTATAAGAAAAGGAGGCAAACGAGCGGCGGGAACACAGAGGTGGTCAACGACGCCCATGGACATCCGCAACAACGAGGGAATACAGATGCGTTGCCGACCTTTGAGGAAATTGTAGGCTCGCTTCCTGAAGGATCCTATTACGTAATAATTTGGAAATACCGCCGAGGACAGACCGTTACACACCGCGGCTGTGCGGGACGGAAAGTTCCGCGAAAACCGCACGGTTGTGGAATGCCACCATCAACATGGTGAGGATGGTACCTGGCGGTTCTGGAGTAGACTGATTTATAAAATAAAACTTAAATTTTAATCACATATTTAGGGTGAAATAAATTTGATGCCGCATCGCTTCACAATTTACTTACAAAATTCTTACCATCATGAACTAGTTAAACTTTTAAATTGGTTCGTACCGTAGTTTACAACTTTCAACAAACAAATTTAAATAGCTTTTAATATTTTGTTTAAATCGAATTAACTCATTTACAATATTGGCATATTTAATAAGATATGTATGAGCGGATACACCTTTGACCAAACTATCGAACAACAGTTATGCGATTGTCGATTGTTTTTCAGCCAATTCAACATTTTAGTTGCACAACTAACAACCCGTTTATGAGAAAAAAATATTTTTTAATTTGAATATTGCCAACATTCTTGCGTATACAATATAGAAAAACTACGATAAAAAATCATTTAAATAGCTTATTCCTAATCTAATCTGCATATTTAGATTTTTTTATTCAAATAAAAACTGGTTAATCCGAGGATTAGGAGATAATTAAATTTGAAGCCTACGTCAATTTAATATTCTATATTATCATATAGTTTGCATTCCTGCGTCTTCTTAAGAATTAATTTAATATCCTAGCATGTTATAAAAAATTAAGCCTACTATATAGCATAACCATAGAATTTTGTTTTTATTTAAAAAGAATGCTTTCGTGGTAAGCACTCGGTGATCCCGTCACTTGTTTGTCTCCTACTCTTGTATAAAAAATAATTTAATATGGAATAAAATTTAATATGGAAAAAACAACAATCTTTATTTCAATTTCAATATAATGTTTGTTTATTTTACAAACAAATTGATTCATTGTTATGTATTTATGTAGAGTCTGTATTAATTAAGTGTGATGATAGTTTATATCGTCTTACTTTGCTATAAAAATAACATTTTATTCTAAAATTCGCTAGTGTTCATCTATTTTTGTATTTCATTTGATTGAAAATAGAATTATATTTCATAAATTAAACATTAATTTCATTTATCAAGGAAAGAATTTACTGGTTTGCCTTCATTACTAAATTTCCTTGTTAAAACATAATTGTCTCTAAGTATAGATTAGAAAGTCGTAGACTATGAAATACTAAAATTATTTTGACTATTGCAACAAATAAAAAAAAACAATCCATTCTTGACCTATCCTAATCCGAAAGCTTTGATCCTGAACTTATTAAATAAATTTCAATTTAAATATAGATGTTTTTCCCTACCTAAATAGTTCTATATGTGATTTGGGTTAGCTACACACAGTATGTACAGTCGGCTTCATAAATGTTATCTTACTAAAATTTTAAATGCGAAAGGTTAGGTGGATAGATGGACGTTTGTTGCCTAGACTGCTGAATGGATCGTGATAAATTTTGGCACAGATTTAGAGAATAGTCTGGAAGAAAACATAGGCAACTCACTTTTGTTTTTTTTTTAGTTCCACACGGACGAAGACACTGGCGAAAGCTACTATGTATAAATTTGCAACTGTTCCGAAACTTGTATACTTGTATGAATCTGTCTTTATGTTTCAGACTTCATGCTATTGGCGAATACATACATGCAAAAATATGTTTGTAATAAAAGGACTATTTGAGTTTCAGAAGCTTAATAAATGTTTACATATATACAGCTGACTGTACTTACTCCATACATCTCTGCGGACGTTCACTCCCTTCTTACGCTTGTTCTTTCACACGATCTATCTATGATTTATAATTGGCAAAAAAATAAATTTTCCTTTCATATTAAGCTATTTTAATTGTTTATTAACAGTATAGTATTATACACAAGGACTATTTTACTGGGATTAAAACATTTTAATGATATACAAAATTTTAACAAAACACTTAACATTAAGTGTTAATAGATAAAGAGTCTAGTATTCAATCGGAACATAATGTATGCGGATATAATGAATGCGTAATATGCTATATATTGTGTCGTTTTTAATAATTTCGAATCAGACGATTGTTGAAAGCCTGTAAAGAAACACCTTTTAGAAAAATTAACAGAAATGTTTCGAACCACAACAATATTTATTCTTCTATTCGCTTGTGTCGTCAACAATTCCAGTACTTACCTAGGTATAATATTTTATGACTTAAAATCTAAAAATTTTTTTTTTACTTTTTTGTAATTTTTTTCTTTTTTTAAGCCCCTTTTGTGAAAAAATGCAAATCTAATGACAATGAGTGCTTGTTGTCATCCAACCTGCAGATAGCATTGCCATACATCGCTGAAGGAATTCCAGAGATCGGAGTACCCGGCACAGATCCGTTGGTTTTGGAGAATCTCACCATGGGTTCAGAAGATAGCGTTTTCAAATTTATCTTACCAGCTTTAAAAATACAGGGTGGTAGGAAGTGTAAGATAGCTGATTTTAAGTAAGTCCTATATACGATTTATCAACATAATTAACTTTAAAATCTATTACTTGTAAATACCATTTTCGTTTATGAATAATCCAATTATTTTTTTTTTGTGCAGGCAAAGTCAACAAGATTCAGTTATGAAACTGACATTGGATTGTCCGTTCTTGGGAACAGGACCTTACAAGTTTATAGGACAATGGGGTATATTCCATTTAGAAAAGGAAGGAGATTTCAAAATTCACACAGGTATCATAATATTTCCATACCACTAAGAATCTTTAATCACAAATTAATTTTAAATATATATGCAAACTTTTTAGTTCTACATTCTATACAAATTCGAAAAATCTTGTAATCAATGCTTACAAAAATAATTGTTCTTGTTTATCATAAAAGTAATTGGTACATTTTCAACTGCGATTTCTTGTTTTCTATTTTTAAACATTGACAATAATGGATTCGAAGTTTACCATAAGTTAAGGGCGACAAGGCCTTAGTGAAACACGAACTCAGTTCGAATAAAACAATTTTACACAAATCTATGAATCTAATCGCAGACATGTGCTGATTGTACCACGTTTTCGTTTACTGTATGAAATGTGCTTTAAAAGGTCACTTTATATTAATATTAATTTCAGATTCAATGAAGACGTCTATGACAATTAAAATGGAGAAAACTGCTATCAACGGAAAGAAGTATTGGAATCTTTTAAGTTTCGAATACTCAAGCGAACCTTCACAATCTATGCATATTGAATTTGACGGCCTCTTCGCCGGTGAACTGGATAGAGGTACAATAATTTTATTCACTAAAAAAATCGATCAATAATCATTACCCACATCAATCAACCGATTTGTCTCTGTTCTTCCTCCGATTTGACCGTTCCTTGTGCTTATGAGAGGTAATAATCTTATTTACATTCATCATAATCAGCCCTTGTCTGCTCACTGCTGGACACAGGCCTTTGCCAATGACTTCAGAATGTGGTTCTCCGTCTTCTGCATCCTACTACTTCTCTTCAACGGAACATCTACATTCACTGAAGAAAAATCGCCTTTTTTATACAAAAAGGTGGAAAACGAGCAAGCGGCCACCTAAATCCGCCAAAATGGGGAAGCGACCGCTCCCATAGACATCCGCAATTGCAGATGCGTTGCCTACCCTAAATCGATGAAGGAGGAGAAGCACATAAAGAAGATATTTCCCCATCCTATGCGTCTCCGCCACCGTCAAATCCACCTTCCCATCCATCCTTCTCTTAAAGAAAAAGTTGGGACGGGAAAGGGACTAAAATTGGGCCTCTGGTACCACACTCATCAGACGAAACGCATAATTGCTTCCACTTCACGCCTGTCTTCTGTGCGGTCGTGGTATTTCACCGGGCGAGTCGACCCATTCGTGCGAAGATGTTAAAGTATGCAGTGTAGTCAGTTTGTAGGGCACCTACTTGAAGGACGCTATTCAAATTTTGAAACAGACGATATCGTATAACATAATAAGTAGTGGTGAAAATTGTCTTATGCGAATTAAATGCACATACCGATCGGTGAAAACAATATTAAAAATATGGACATGGATGTAGACTTAAGTGTACCACGGCGACACTTTGATATATTTTACCTAAACATCCTCAGGGAATAAAAGAAACAAAATCATACATATATATGTAATGTATGGCTTACTTGATTCATATGAAACTATAAAAACCTGTATTGTTTTTCAGCACGATCCTTCCTGAGCGCCATGGATAAGAATTGGGATAGCACGCTGCAGATTGGAGGACCTATGGCTGATGGAATCGTGAAAAACACCTTTGAATGTCTAAAAAAATTCTTCCTTAGAGTGCCAATTGAGGATCTTCTACGCGCTTAAATTGTGTAACTTAAGACATAATTTTAATTTTAAGTAATAAAGAATTTCTTAAAACTCTATAAGTATTATTCTAATGTATTATTTGATGCAGTAAAAAATAAAAAGACTTAAAATGAGGTTGTAATAAGATCATCGCACATTAGATCTACTCTAAAACGCTTAGCGTCTGAACTGTAGGTATCCATTGATGTTTATAAAAAAAGACAAAATCAATTTGTTTTAATTACGATCGCAGGCGACTTTTTGCATATCTGCCTTCGAAACCTGTTGACTTCGTATAGAATGACGGTCGATAAAAAAGTACATAGGACAACACAACAGGAGGGGCAATGTAGGATTACCTAATACGCGATGACCTTTAAAACAACAACCTTCAATTTTTGCAATAGAACCAAAAGTGTTATTTGAAAGGAGCTTTGAAGTATAGATATATAACAAAGAAGCTAGACTCGGCGTGATACGAACATGATACGTTCGTGATACTAACGTGGTTAAAGCGTGTATGAAAAAAATACTGGTAGAAAAAAAAATATTAAAAATTTGAATTTTCAAAAGAATAGCATAAACAAAAATGTTTGGATTACCAAGATAAATATTGCACAAAAAACAAGGAAAACAAAATCAATTGCTTTTCTGATTTGATTATGATTATTTTCTACAAACATTTGCCATAGTCATCCCAGTTCAATACGTGATACATATTGTATCTGCTAATATTGTAAAATTATCCAATGCGGCTATTAGAATTTAATTTCTTAATACTATTAACATCTTTATCTAAAGCTACTTAAATTAATCACTTTTCGTATTTATATGTACCGAAAGTTTTATTTGTGAACTACTTTATATATATGCATAATGTTTTGAAAATTTGGCAAAATGTCAATTCTAATCTAGTATGAATATTAAATTAAATCAGTACGATTTTGTAGAATGCAAAAAACTTGCATCAAACACCAAATAATCAAAAAAGGTCAAGGAAACCCAGCATGCGCGGTGGTCAATAAATTCTGTCCACGATCAGATTTCTTATAGCTGCATTCCTAACGTAACAATTTTTTAATTATAATCACTAAAAAGAAACAAAGAAACCCGACTGACTTTATCCAAAAACACGATTTGAATGACATCCTGCACTAAGAAATCAATAACCGATCTCGAATTGTATTACTTTATCGAGGTATTTTGTTACAATTTAAATCTATTTAGAACATCGGCTCAGCGGTTAAGGAACTTTACTACTTAAACCCCTGAGCTTAATCTACAGATTCTGGAATCGTGTCGAACGTTCTTTCAGTGAAGGAAAACATCATGAAGCAACTTGCTCATATCGACGAAAAAGATACGTGTGAAATCAACGATCCCACATTGTGCCAGCATGGTTGACTTTAGACAACCACGTTGTATGGTAGCCACATGGAGTAGGCTCTGCGAGTGCTAGCCTGATAGCTGACGATGAATTCTATGTCTTGAAATTTAACCAACCCGAGACATCGGAATAGCAATTGAAAAATATGATCTACGGATTACAATAAAGTTCTACGAATAGGATGGGAAGTGGCCTGAAATTTTGAAGGAGACAGGATGCCCAATGTTATTCGTTCATCCCCTCCATTGTTGATTAAGGGAAGGCAACGCTTTTGCAAATACAGATGTCTATGGGCAGCGTTATACTCCGAAATTAGCTTATTATACTTTCTTAATTTCCTCTCAATCCGAAGAAATTACTAAATTTCCACATTGCAGATACTTTAATCCAGGCGCTAAGTCCAACAAAATTACTGCAACGATCACTGCAACTGCATTTAAAGAGTAGATTTTGATTGAACTAACTTAACCTGACAATAAAAAAACACATCTTTGTAACAAACATACGGAACAAATAAGTTTATACACAACATATATAAATATAATTATAATTAATTAGATTAACAGATAACATTAATATTTATTTATTGTTGATTTAATTTCGACATAAAAATGTTTAAGGCCTATTTGACTTAAATATATTAAGATTAAGACATAAAATTAGGATATATGTTTATTTAAATTGGCAGATTATTAGGCAATGTTGCACCATTATTTGTAAAAATAGAAATCTACTAGCTTTCGCCAGCGACTCCGTCCGCGTGGAATTAAGAAAAATAAAAGTCAGTAGCCTATGTGTTCTTCGAGACTATCCTCTAGGTCTGTGCCAAATTTCATCAAGATCCGTTCAGCCGTTTAGGCTACAAACTCTAACAAACATCCATCCATCTAAACTTTCACATTTATAATATTAGTATAATTAAGTTTCCAGTTATAAACATTATTAAATTTACATCAATATTGCCTATGATTTTTTTAAATCCTCATTACCTTAAGAGGCATGATTTAACAGATGGTATGAAAAATCCCATAATAAATTGTCTAAATTTTTTTTCTATCAGTAAAACACCATCATCATCCTTTATCTGCCCACTGTATCAGTAGATGGCTTTTATCAACATTCTATGTTACGTATTTGCAAACATCTTTATAGCTACAAACGTAGAGTTCGACAGAAGGGCAATTGTAACTATTTCACATCTAAAACTATTCAGACTATAATTTGGTTAAACTTTATAGAAATAATTAAAGATCATAAAAAGTCAGATATTAATAAATATCATTAGATTTTATATTAAGCTTGAATTACTTAATAATTACTTAAGTTTGACATTATCTATGAATTTATTACTCTTTTAATATCAATTTTTCTTATTTGAACCAACAACATAGAACATAAGTATAAGTATATATTGAACAGTGTTTGTAAGTTTGTATCAGTCGCTTACAAGTATCAACAGCATCATCAAGAATTTAATTTCTAAGAATATACGTAAAAATGACGAAAATGTACATCCTTCTATTCATTTTAAGTTTTGCTCTACTCTGTTCCTGTAATACTATTGGTATTGTATTCACTTTAAATATAACAATTAACTGACTACTTTCATACTGCTCTTTTTCTTATAAAAATCTAGAAGCCGTCATATCTGAGTTCAGCCCCTTCTTACAATACAATCTTTTCTCCGTTATTTCTTCTCTTTTGTACTCCTACATTCAATTTCACTATTGTCTTGTTTTATTTATGTAGTTGCATGTTCTAAAGTATTGTTTTCATTCAAGTGCCTTTCATCAAAGCTTGCAAATTGAACGAAGAAGATTGTCTCCTGACTGCTAATATGCAGATCGCTTACCCGTACATCGCCAACGGGATTCCTGAAATTGGAGTCCCGCCGACAGATCCGATGAATTTTGAAAACCTTACAATGTGGGCAGATCAAGATAATTTCAAGTTTATGTTGCCGCATTTACAAATTCGTGGAGGAAGAAGATGTAGAGTCGTTGAATTTAGGTAAGTTATAAGAACAATCCTGTAAGAGCAGATTAAGAATGCTAATGATACTATTAAGAACTAGAAAGTGTAAACATGTTATTGGAATAATTAAATTTATCCACAGACAACTCCGTGATGAATCTGCTATGAAATTCACCGTTGATTGTCCAATGATAGGAACTGGTTCATATAAATTTAATGGAAAAATGTTTATATTCGATATTGATAAAGAAGGTGACTTCAGAATGGAAACAAGTACGTATTGCTTTCAATAAAATTGTCAATGTAACAATAAATTAATCCTTTCAAACACGTGTAAATTATTACAGATTCTTTAAGGACTACAATCACCGCTAAATTCGATAAAATAGTTATAAATGGAAAGAATTACTGGAAGCTTCTGACCTATGAATTTTTCAGTGAGCCTAGAGAATCCATGAACATAGATTTGGCTGGACTTTTTTCAGGCGACGTCGAACAAGGTAGAATGTTATTCAACTTTGCTTCTGATTAAAATGATTTTGTTAATATTGAAAGTCATATTTGTGATTAAGAAATAAAATTAAAGAGATCAATCTAATTGGTCTACTTGGTGGAATGGTAAAATTACCGGAATGGCTGTAGAATCGATCATATTATAAGAGTAACCTTCGGGATCGTAGTTTGACAACCAACAAACTGGATAATTAACCTGGTTTAGTATGTGGGTCCACTGGATAAGAAAAGAAAGAACTACATTTGCCTAGCAGAAATTCAGATTTCATCTAACAATGAAATGCTTGAGTAAAAATTATTACGTTAAATATTTAGAATTACTTGATTCTGTTACTTAATTTTTTTTTATTTTCAGTTCAACCTTTAATGAATATCATCAACAAGGACTGGATGACCATATGGCAAGTCGGCGAGCCCATCGACAGTGGTATTGTCAAGAACATCTTCAGTGCTCTCAAAGCATTCTTCATTAGAGTACCAATCGATGAGTTTATGCAGTATTAGATCATAACAACAATTTTTTTTAACAATTTCTGCACTAATATTTTATACAATAAACATTTCCTGAACGGTATTCAACGTTTTAATTTCTTGCAATAGTTAAATATTAAACTGTCTTTCAAGTTAAGTCTCCATAAATATTTAAGAAATAACTTTGAATTAAAAATTATAAAATTAGAAGTCCCTAGATTAGAAGCTCTCAGAATCGAAGGTTCAAGAGGTAAAAAATTGTTAATGACTGAAACACATAATCACAAATGTGTCCACAATGACTAGATATAAGTTACAATAACAACGCAGGTTACTTCAAGATTTAATTAGTCAATTGTCTTCCATTTTATCATTTATCAGAAGACAAGTTCTCTTATATGGTAGTAGCATAGTATTAAATAATTCAATCTAGAAAGTACGAAATAATGAATTTCCTATCCCTTTTTGATCATGGAATATTAGTGCGTACTGCGGCTGCATTCCGTCTCTTTATTGTGTACGTCCCTCAAATTGGAACGAGGCAATTTATTCCAATACTAGCTTTCGCCCCCTATGTATTCTTCCAGACTACCCTCTACATCTTCCAAATTTCATCGAGATCCATTTAGGCTACAAACTCTAACAAACATCCATCCATCCATCCAAACTTTTGCATTTATAATATTAGTATGATTAGTATGATTACCTGCTCATACTCTTGGCAAAAGGATTGAAATTCTTTAATTTTTTTTCATAACTTTGTTTTTGTTTTTTTTTTACAATTTAAAAGTCCTTTTTACTTTATTAATTCACATGGTTTAAGGTAAATACAAACCTATGCACAACAACGTAAAGGATAAAATAAGATAATAATCTGTTATATATAATTTCTGTAGTAAATACACCGTTAGGTTCCGTTCACATAGCCCTGAGCGTAGAGCAAAGTAAATTTTATATCTTAAATAAAATTGAGCTGTAAGTAATTGAAACAAGGTTGTATTTAGCAAATCTTTTCTTATGAAGATCAAATGTAAAAAAGTGAAAATTAAAAACTAACCTTATTACAATTGGATAAAGCTCAATTTGATTTACGATAAAAATTTGCAATGCTTCCGGTGTACGGTGCGGTCTATGTGAATGGATCCTTAGTGGAATAAACATAAAACTTCATTCGATATCACGGCACGTGTATAAATCAATACAAACATTCAACTGCTGTGATTTATTTGACGTATTCGAGGATTTAGATTTGTTTTGATAATGTTTAGGCTTGAAAAGTTTAGTTTTACTCTTAAATGTACAGAATTATTTTGGAAAAGTTATCTAAAATATACTTTAAATACATTCATCAGTATTGCTATAAAAATACGTTCTTATTAATTCGGATGATATTTTTAAAAACATGTTTAAATTATCGCTGCAGTAAATTGATTTTCGACGAAATCATTTTAGTGTTAATAATTAATTTGTAAATTATACGGTAAATATTACTTTTATTACACGTTATATAAATTTAATACGATTATGGAATGCAGTCTTAAATTATTTTATTAATTCATTATTAGAATCGTGAGAGCAATGCCAAACAGATATAATTCACTTTTTGCAAACTCATCGATGCCCGTGGATTTGATGCACTTATTACATCAAGGCAAGGCAGATCGTAAACGCATAGACGCCTTTGAAATGTGGTGCTGGCGGAAAATTATGAGAATACCGTGGACTGCACACAAGACAAACGACTCAATATTAGAAGAACTCAAAATTACTAAACGCCTATCCACGATACGTCTCAGCCGCATGCTGGTGTACTTCGGTCACGTTGTTAGGCGATCCCCCGAAAACCTAGAAAAGCTATTACGGGCAAATCGAGGGGAAGAGATCCAAAGGATGTCGCCCTATACGCTGGACAGACTAAATATGCATCACACGCGACACAACTTTACAAAACGCCATACCCTTCGAAGAGAATCCGCACCGAGTGGAGAAACACCCTTCGAGAGATTGTCAAGGAGAGTGGTCGCGACCCTCAGGAATGAGGAAACGATCCTGAGAGAGAGAGATTACATATGGTAGCAATAGAAATGCAATATTAATTATTACTATTACAAACAACAGACACTACTATTATAAATTAGATCCTTATCTTGTCCTTTAGTTAAATGACTATCCAATCCTATTAGTTATAGAACTTTATACGGATATTTTATGAGATTTTTCAACTGGTAGTCGAGGACGTAGTCGTGGTTTCTATTTCGAAATTCAGTGATACAGTCAACATCTGGTTAGTAACTTCAAGTACAAGCACAAAATAATTAGTGCCTGAATTAGAGCATTGACTCTTTATAATGGAGATTGCGAGAAAATAATTTATTACTGTACCACTTACTAATGATAAAAAAATCATTGCGTTGTCTATTCCACGTACTCTTCTTGATGAACTCTCTCGGTTACCATAAACATGACCTTCTGTAGATTATATTCTTTTTTAACGGACTAATAATGTTGCCTTATATTATTTTGTGTCTCAATTTTCAAACACAATGTGTGCCCGCTTCCTCTCTATGAAGCAAATGGAATATTTATGCGCACAATAATCGAAAAATCGTCAATCAATTGTCGACACGCTTAGTGATTTATCACATCCATACGTTTAAAGCGGAAATGATTTTTGTAAACAGATTGCATTCAAGGTATGCATGTGTCTTCTATGATGTGACTTTTATCATTATATAATACTACCTTTCGCCTGCGACTCCATCAGCGTGGAATTAAAAAATCAAAAGTAAGTAGTCTGTGTGTTTCTCCAGTCTATCCGCTATATCCAAATTTCATCAAGATCCGTTCAGCCATTTTAGGCTACAAACTATAACAAACATCCATACATCCATGTAAACTTTTGCATTTACAATATTAGTAATTTGTGTTATACAAGCTTTTAGTAGTAATTTTATTTAAAAAATGTTGGAGTTAAATTATAAAATTCTGTATTTGTAGTAAAAAGCAATTAACAAAGGGATTTTTACTAAAAACAAATAAACTCAACTTGAACAATACTGTAAATTCTTTTTCAGTTGAAGCTTTTAACGAAATGCAAATAAACGTAACACCCGAAACCTTTGAAACAAACCGCACACCGCTCACTAAAACCAATTTACTGTTCGCCCGGGACTGGCATTTTGCATACAAACGCATTCGCATTACAATTAAGTATATATATATACACATAACATACATTGATCTCTTTTCCACGTGAAGTATTTTTTCCAATTTATTTACCCCTAAATTTAATAGCGTGAAAATACATTGCCTAAAGCGTGTTGTAAGTGTAGTGCTTTATATTAAAGAAAAAAATATTAAAAATTATGCTGTGATTGTTGACATCTTACGCCACAAAGTAATGTGTTTTTACGCTTTATTTTATTGATACAGATAGATTGTGCATACCTTACAATATTATGTGTTACACGGAAGAGCGGGACTTCCTAACACAAGTACCTATTGGTCACCTAAAAGGAAAGTTCTACATCTGAATAACTTGTACAATCAATTGTTACACCAATAAATCATTGTCATTTTTATTTTTTTTGTATTTACACACATTGAAATGTATACATAACAAAAAAAGTAATAAGTATCTTAAGTAAAAAACTTTTTAATTGAAACAGAAAAGTGTTGTTACTGACTAAAATATTGCACTTAATAAAATACATTTAAATTTTTAACTTTTACGAAGATAGAAAATTCTATTTCGTATTCTTAACTTAATTTGAACTCCTAAATATTTGTACCATTCATCGAAAATAGCCACTTATTTTTTTTTTGGGACTTTTCAGGCTTCACATTACAATAGTGTTCCACACATCTTACTCATATTATAAATGCGAAAGTTTAGATGGATGGATGTTTGTTAGAGTTTGTAGTCTAAACGGCTGAATGGATTTTGATGAATTTTGGTACAGATGTAGACGATAGCCTGAAAGAACACATAGTCTACTCACTTATGTTTTTTTTTAATTCCACGCAGACGGTGTGGCGGGCAAAAGCTACTTTCTAATAATTTCAACTAAATGCGAATTACTGTAGCTACCTTGATTTACATAAAAATAAGCTTAATAACACTGTTAAAACATTTCATGTTATATACATTCCAATTATAATACTAATAACATAAATGCGAAAGTTTAGATGGATGGATGTTTGTTAGAGTTTGTTTTCTAAACGGCTGAACGGATTTCGATGAATTTTTCTGTAGATGTAGAGAATTGTCTGGAAGAACACATAGGCTATTTACTTTTGTTCTTTTTTTAATTCTACGCGGACGGAGATGCGGGAAAAAGCTATTACTAGACTATATTACTGCTATATAACTATATTTACTAGTAAAGGTTTTCTTTTAAATTAGTTTTTCTACAATGATAGAACTATCTTAATATGAACAAATCAACAATCACTTATCTTTAACTAGAAACAGTATGACAAAACAATTACCAGGGTCGAGCTAACAATCGAAGTATAATTAGAAGAGCTTGTGTCGAACATGTAATGAGTACAACACGTTAATTGCGCGGACGTCGATTTAAATATATCAATTGCAATCTTTAACTATACAGGAATGGACTAACTAATTATAAATCATTTTTTCCGGTGGCGGCAGCGACTAGTTTCGGAACCCTTGAGTTCCACCTTCAGGAATGGCCTAGAAAGGTGCAATCACCTCGTTATATTAAAAAATAAATATTTTCCCCCATGCCCACGGGGAAGCTTACTAATGACAATTAAAAGTGAAAAAGTCCTTGTGAATGCATTCTAACTCAAAAGAACACACACAAATCAAGTAAACATATGGACATAACTTTGGAAGTTATTGTTCGTGTTTACTAGGGAATATGCGCTTGACAGGTCGTGTCTGTTAATAGTCAAAGGTAATGGCAGTGCAACGACCGCGACCATACCACGTGGCATTCGGTATTTCAGTACTGCCATTAGAAATGCCTAGCTATTTGCAGAACTGCTGAACATAGTTTGTAGTT